TCTGACCCTGATGTTTTTCCTGGAGAGAAGTAGCTTCCTCGCTGTCCTTCTTGACACCAGGCCATCCTCCAAAAGTCTTCGCCTCATTGCGCGTGCAGATGCACTCACACCTGCCTGCTGCCATTCCTGAGCAAGCTCTGCACTGGTGGTGCCCCGATCCCGCAGCTGAATCAACTTTAGGAGACGATCCTTGCGCTTGCTGGACTTTCTTGGGCGTCCTGAAGCCTTCTTCACAACAATTGAACCACTCTCCTTGAAGTTCTTGATGATCCGATAAATGGTTGATTTAGGTGCAATCTTACTAGCAGCAATATCCTTGCCTGTGAAGCCCTTTTTGTGCAAAGCAATGATGACGGAACGTGTTTCCTTGCAGGTAACCATGGTTAACAGAGGAAGAACAATGATTTCAAGCACCACCCTCCTTTTAAAAGCACCCAGTCTGTTATTCTAACTCAATTAGCATGACAGAGTGATCTCTAGCCTTGTCCTCGTCAACACTCATCTGTGTTAACGAGAGAATCACTGACATGATGTCAGCTGGTCCTTTTGTGGCAGGGCTGAAATGCAGTGGAAATGTTTTTGGGGGGATTAAGTTCATTTTCATGGCAAAGAGGGACTTTGCAATTAATTGCAATTCATCTGATCACTCTTCATAACATTCTGGAGTATATATAAATTGCCTTCATAAATACTGAGGCAGCAGACTTTGTGAAAATATATATTTGTGTCATTCTCAAAACTTTTGGCCACGACTGTACAGCCTGTCCATCGAATTAATGACGGCCAATGCCATTACTGCAAAGCTGCTGAACCACACTGCTGTATTTCTATGAAGAGGACCTCTGGTATGTTCAGTCATAGAAATAGAATGACTAGAACAGGCTTCCCCATTCAAGTCAATGATTAGTTATATTCATTATTTTTCTATGTATTCAGTAGTACTGCATCATAACGGTTATCACATGATTCATTGAAGGAAACCTATTTTTGCTAGAAAATATCTCTTTTATCGCTGATTTCCTTGTGAACTGAACCAACCTGTCAGACTGGGCGCCCTTGTCTATGCCATAGGTCTCCGCAGTACAACATCACCTCCGCCTGGCCAGTCTACAGAATTACAACTACCATACCACTGATTTGACTTCACTTTGTCTTGTACAATAGCACCACTTGTTGGACACCTAGTCAGGTCTCTTAGAGACGTAGTGGTTGAAGGCCCAGTGCAGTCAAAATTCAGTTTTTCCTGTGTTTTATATCATTGTATAACAGCTGATGAAACTAACACTGGAAAAGTGTGAAAACATTTGATCAGTGTTATTTCCTGGAGTTGCTGACCAATAACAAAAAGTTCAAAACCTCTCTGCCAATGACAGCTAGTTTTCCGTTTTCCTTTTCCCACAGAAAACTCCCAGACAGCCCTAGCAAAATTCTTGCTTGAGAAATAGTTTTTCATAAAAAACTTTTTTTGCCCATTTTAATGTATATCTATTACACTAACCAGGTTTCCATACAACCTTTATATGCGAGCAAAGTACATGTCGGATTAAAAAAATGTAATGACAGGCCTAACAGAAACAGAAAATGTTTCGGTAAACTTTCCAAATGTCGACAAAACACGCTAGACAAGGTGGGATCTTTTTGCGTCTGTAAAATGTATAATGCGAGAAATGTCAGTTGAAACGCTTTTATGTGGAAATATTGATATTATAACCATTATATTGAAGTAAACTTGGAGTCGCGATGACATGTTGTGTGGTCCTCCCACTACGACTCGTTGAGAAAGCATGCAGTTTATTAGGTTACAGATAAAGTCAGTTATGATTAACTTCACAGGCTGGTGAAAGTGCAAGGTGATGAGCTTGGTGCTCCTTTCCAATAAATATTGAGGGTCTTATTCTGGTGACATTATCAAATCAAATCAAATTTTATTGGTCACATGCGCCGAATACAACAGGTGCAGACATTACAGTGAAATGCTTACTTACAGCCCTTAACCAACAGTGCATTTATTTTAAACAAAAAAGTAAGAATAAAACAACAACAAAAAAAGTGTTGAGAAAAAAAGAGCAGAAGTAAAATAAAGTGACAGTAGGGAGGCTATATATACAGTAAAATAAAGTGACAGTAGGGAGGCTATATATACAGGGGGGTACCGTTGCAGAGTCAATGTGCGGGGGCACCGGCTAGTTGAGGTAGTTGAGGTAATATGTACATGTGGGTAGAGTTAAAGTGACTATGCATAAATACTTACTTAACAGAGTAGCAGCAGCGTAAAAAGGATGGGGTGGGGGGGCAGTGCAAATAGTCCGGGTAGCCATGATTAGCTGTTCAGGAGTCTTATGGCTTGGGGGTAGAAGCTGTTGAGAAGTCTTTTGGACCTAGACTTGGCACTCCGGTACCGCTTGCCGTGCGGTAGCAGAGAGAACAGTCTATGACTAGGGTGGCTGGAGTCTTTGACAATTTTGAGGGCCTTCCTCTGACACCGCCTGGTATAGAGGTCCTGGATGGCAGGGAGCTTTGCCCCAGTGATGTACTGGGCCGTACGCACTACCCTCTGTAGTGCCTTGCGGTCAGAGGCCAAGCAGTTGCCATACCAGGCGGTGATGCAACCAGTCAGGATGCTCTCGATGGTGCAGCTGTAGAATTTTTTGAGGATCTGAGGACCCATGCCAAATCTTTTTAGTCTCCTGAGGGGGAATAGGCTTTGTCGTGCCCTCTTCACGACTGTCTTGGTGTGTTTGGACCATGATAGTTCGTTGGTGATGTGGACACCAAGGAACTTGAAGCTCTCAACCTGTTCCACTACAGCCCCGTCGATGAGAATGGGGGCGTGCTCAGTCCTCTTTTTTTTCCTGTAGTCCACAATCATCTCCTTTGTCTTGGTCATGTTGAGGGAGAGGTTGTTGTCCTGGCACCACACGGCCAGATCTCTGACCTCCTCCCTATAGGCTGTCTCATCGTTGTCGGTGATCAGGCCTACCACTGTTGTGTCGTCGGCAAACTTAATGATGGTGTTGGAGTCGTGCCTGGCCATGCAGTCATGGGTGAACAGAGAGTACAGGAGGGGACTGAGCACGCACCCCTGAGGGGCCCCCGTGTTGAGGATCAGTGTGGCAGATGTGTTGTTACCTACCCTTACCACCTGGGGGCGGCCCGTCAGGAAGTCCAGGATCCAGTTGCAGAGGGAGGTGTTTAGTTCCAGGATCCTTAGCTTAGTGATGAGCTTAGAGGGCACTATGGTGTTGAATGCTGAGCTGTAGTCAATGAATAGCATTCTCACGTAGGTGTTCCTCTTGTCCAGGTGGGAAAGGGCAGTGTGGAGTGCGATAGAGATTGCATCATCTGTGGATCTGTTGGGGCGGTATGCAAATTGGAGTGGGTCTAGGGTTTCTGGGATTATGCTGTTGATGTGAGCCATGACCAGTCTTTCAAAGCACTTCATGGCTACAGACGTCAGTGCTACGGGTCGGTAGTCATTTAGGCAGGTTATCTTAGAGTTCTTGGGCACGGGGACTATGGTGGTCTGCTTGAAACATGTTGGTATTACAGACTCAGTCAGGGACATGTTGAAAATGTCAGTGAAGACACTTGCCAGTTGGTCAGCACATGCTCGGAGTACACGTCCTGGTAATCCGTCTGGCCCTGCGGCCTTGTGAATGTTGACCTGCTTAAAAGTCTTACTCACATCGGCTACGGAGAGCGTGATCACATAGTCGTCCGGAACAGCTGGTGCTCTCATGCATGCTTCAGTGTTGCTTGCCTCGAAGCGAGCATAGAAGTGGTTTAGCTCGTCTGGTAGGCTTGTGTCACTGGGCAGCTCGCGGCTGTGCTTCCCTTTGTAGTCTGTAATAGTTTTCAAGCCCTGCCACATCCGACGAGCGTCAGAGCCAGTGTAGTATGATTCAATCTTAGACCTGTATTGACTCTTTGCCTGTTTGATGGTTCGTCGGAGGTCATAGCGGGATTTCTTATAAGCGTCCGGGTTAGAGTCCCGTTCCTTGAAAGCGGCAGCTCTACCCTTTAGCTCAGTGCGGATGTTTCCTGTAATCCATGGCTTCTGGTTGGGGTATGTACGTACGGTCACTGTGGGGACGACATCATCGATGCACTTATTGATGAAGCCAGTGACTGATGTGGTGTACTCCTCAATGCTGTCTGAAGAATCCCGGAACATGTTCCAGTCTGTGCTAGCAAAACAGTCCTGTAGCTTAGCATCTGCGTCATCTGACCACTTTTTTATTAACCGAATCACTGGTGCTTCCTGCTTCAGTTTTTGCTTATAAGCAGGAATCAGGAGGATAGAGTTATGGTCAGATTTGCCAAATGGAGGGCGAGGGAGAGCTTTGTATGCGTCTCTGTGTGTGGAGTAAAGGTGGTCTAGAGTTTTTTTCCCTCTGGTTGCACATTTAACATGCTGGTAGAAATTAGGTAGAACGGATTTAAGTTTCCCTGCATTAAAGTCCCCGGCTACTAGGAGCGCTGCATCTGGATGAGCGTTTTCCTGTTGATTAATGACCTTGTACAACTCATTCAGTGCAATCTTAATGCCAGCATTGGTTTGTGGTGGTAAATAGACAGCTATGAAAAATATAGATGAAAACTCTCTTGGTAAATAGTGTGGTCTACAGCTTATCATAAGATACTCTACCTCAGGCGAGCAAAACCTCAGGTGAGCAAAACCTCAGGCGAGCAAAAAATCATCGACGCTTGGCTACAGTTTGACCAATAAAAATAATCTTGCTCTTTTGTCCATAATCATCTGTCGCAAATTGGATGGAAACCTAGCTAGTAAAGTACTTAACTGTTAGCCTTAAATGATTTTATAAAATATAAAACAGCTGCATTGGAAAAGAGGGGAGTAAACGCTGAACACTGACGTAAACGATAACAACGCTATTATAGCATAACGTGAGTCAACAACATTCCCCAAATTAAAAAGGTGTGTAAATGGCATTTAGGCTATGCTTTGTGGAGTGGATAGTATATCATTTTAGTGTAATCTACCTGCGGTTGGCCCTCTTCCCTCTGTCCTCCTCGCTGGGGTCTGTACTCTTCTTCTTCTTCTCCTCCTCCTTCATCTTCTTCAGCTTCTTAGAGATCCTCTCCCTCATTTCCTGCCTCTCATCAGAGTCATACTCCTCTTCATCACCATCCGCATCTCCCTCCGCAGCCTCATCATCCTCACCCTGAACACGAGAGAGAGAGAGATGAGAGAAAGCATGGAGAACACTCAGAGCAAAGGTGTTTTCCAACAAGTGGAATGGAATGCATTATAACGTGATGCATGGTGTCTTCATTGAACAGACAACATGAAGGAATAAGAGCATACCTCTGCTGCTTCTCCAGCTGCACCTTTGGCTTTTTTCCTTCGAACACAAGACAAATAGATTCAGATAAATATTTATTAAATATTAACTCATTAATTTATTAATTGTCCAAACAAGATAAGTTGAGGCAGCAGAGCAAGGTGTCTGTACTGCGTCTCAGTGTACTGACTTGTTGACTGCGGGGACAGAGCTCAGCAGTGGATCATCCTTCAGCAGGTCATGACTGCTTTTGCTTTTCCCTTTCAGTGTCTGGATGAAAAGAAACAACGTGTGTGTGTGTATATATCTGACTGACACAGACGGGGTGACATAATACATAAGATGGCGAGCTTGATTTTAAGTGCAGAATAAGAATAACACTGCTCATGTTATAATTACCTGGCTGACTTGAGTTACCATTTCCTCGTCCTCCTCAGCTTCCTCTCCGAATGACAACAGACTAAAGTTCCTGACAAAACAAGTATGGTCGACCGTTCATAACTACAGTGCCACGCTTCCAAGTCAGCAACAGATTGAGAGTGAGTAGCAGAGAAAGTGTGTATAGTAGTAAATGAATGACCTACTTTGTTGCTTTGGACTGAGATTTCTTTCCCTCTTTTTTGTCTTCATCCTTTTTGGATTTTTTTGTTTCACGTGGAATGATGTCATCGAAGGGAGAATGTAACACCTGCAGAGAAACATTACAAAGATTTAAGGAAACAGAGTCTGACGGAATTGGAACAAATGCAAAACAAATGAATGGTCAAAGTGATAAAATACTATTGTGTGATGTAAACCCATAACCCCATATGGGCCCAGTGTAGCTCAGTTGGTAGAGCATGGCGCTTGCAACGCCAGGGTTGTGGGTTCGATTCCCACGGGGGGCCAGTATGGAAAAAAACATTATTTTTTTTATGTATGCACTCACTAACTGTAAGTCGCTCTGGATAAGAGCGTCTGCTAAATGACCAAAATGTCAAATGTAAATAACAAGCCATACCTCAGTGGTTCGTATCTTGTGTGGATTTAAAGGTCTTTCCTCCTGATCACATTCCACTTCTGCTAACCTGAGCATGTTGTACACTGTATCACCTGTCACCTGCATTGAGGAAAGGAAGATGAATTTACAGGACAAGATGGCTTCTAGAATATATGTTTGATGCAATTAGAATTGAGTTGGCTCTGATTACAAATGCTGCATACTAAAAGCTTTACAAGATGTAAAGATGCATGGATCTTCTTTTGGCGTTTTACCTTTCCAAAGATGGTGTGTTTGTTGTTGAGCTCATCTGCCCGGCCCAGGGTGAAGAAGAACTGGCTGCCGTTGTCATGGGGCCCTGCGTTGGCCATGGCAACCAGGCCTCGTCTGTTGAAGCGCAGTCTGGAGTGGAACTCGTCCTGAGAACAGGGGACAGAACCAACAGCAAAACAAGAATCAGCCCCACTGTTTCATCGTTAGTAACAGTAGTATGGGTGAGCTGGCAAAGGTTCCAAGTAGAAGAATTCCGTTTATGTCTAGTCTAGTCTAGTCTATCTTTTTGGGGGGGTTGAACATGATCAGAGATAATGAGGTGATGGAGACAGTGAAAACGTACCTTGAATGGCCGTCCATAAATGGACTCTCCCCCTGTCCCGGTGCCTGTGGGATCTCCTCCTTGGACAATGAACTCTGGCACCACTCTATGGAACGGTGTTCCATCATAGTAGCCTGAGGAAGAGAACAGTACATATTTGCAATAAGATGGTGCGGAATGTGACATGATGAGAATATATAATAAGTACATCAGTATTGTTGACTGACTTTGCATTCTAACCTGCTTGATATAATCAGTCAGTCCTCCTTACCTTCCAGACATAACTGGACAAAGTTTCTGGCGGCCTTGGGAGCCTCTTTGGACCACAGCTCAATGTCGATGTCACCAGCTGAGGTCTTGATCAGAACCTGAAGCGGAGAAGGATATCAATTTACACCACTTCATCACAAAAAAATCTGCCTGGCTTGACAGAATGGTAGTTCTGCAGTGCATACTGAGTGAGTGGGCATAACATAGGTGGAATGATAGAGAATGCTTGCCTGGAAACCCGACATTGAATTGCATTGAATTCTATGTCAGGCAGAAATGAGTGTTTGAATCAGGAAAGTTTCCTCTCACGACCTCTACAAGCCAGAATGTTGAATAAAATGATATTTTAACATACTTTACCGGTTGTCCGTGCAGCAGTCATTTTGGCGGTAGGAATGAGACAATATATCCACAGGAAAGTACAATTACATCAACTTTTCAAAGTGCTGGTAGTGCATTCAGATTTCTAGCAGAACCATGTAAACACGTGCACGGCAAGTACGCATGCATCTCGTGCATGTATTTTTATCTTGTGCATTTGCTTCAGGTGATAGAAATCTGAACGCACTACCAGCGCTTTGAAATATGTATGTAATTATACTTTCCTGTTGATATATTGTCTCACATCCCTACTGCCAAAAGGACCAACCGCACGGACAACGGGTAAAGTAAGTTAAAATATAATTGTATTCAACATTCTGGCTTGTAGAGGTCGTAAGAGTAAACTTTCCTGATACAAACGCTCATTTCTGCCCAATGTAGAATTCAATGCAATTCAACGTCGGGTTTCCAGGCAAAGATAATTTGTCCTGTATGATCATAGTGTATCATGCAAGCCATTGTAGTGACAGTGAGATATTAATGTACTTCATGAAATAATAATAGGGTCTTCAGGGGAACAAATTACAGCCAGGAATTATGATAAGCATGCTCGCGCTCACCTTTCCGTTTGACGGAGGCTCTTGAATGTAGATGTTGCTCATTCTGTCGTTGAGATTAACGAACAACTAGAAATCGAAAATCCGTTATCTGTATTTTCTGCAGTACAATAGATAGCTAATGTACTTTTTTTTTCGAGAATTCACCACTGAGTGGTTTGCAAAGATTTAGCAAATTAGAGATTAATGTCTACATTTGTTGCTAACCCAGATCACTGTCAACCGCCATGTTGTTAAAACATGGGTGCTTTATTTACCTCGAATCAATGGGGGGGGGGGGGGGTATTTGCCAAGTCAATGCTTGGAAGCATTTTCCCCTAATATTAGTTCGAGGGTGATATTTTTCAAATATTAACTAACTATTATTGAATATTTGTATGAAAATATGACAAATCTGTGAAAATATAGATGAATCATTATTTTCATATTCACCCCTAAAATGTTTGGTTTGGTCCGTGTGTTACATTGTAAACAACCCCACTAAAACATTGTACAGAACATAAGTTAGCTAGAAGGAGGCTGGCACATTTATCTCGAGAAAACCCTCATTATGAAAGATTTATGAAAAAGAAGAGAGTCAAAAATAATAGTAAGCGAGGATTCTTTCTCAAGTATTGAGCCAAATGTGGTTTTACCAAAGACGGTACAGGGTACTAACCAGTTGATGATTCCTACCGGAGCTATTTTGTAGAGGACCCACAGGGAACTTTGTGGTTCGAAATTTATCAACGCAACAAGGTTTTTGTCAATAAAGTGTGATAATGGCTGCATCAGGTATGTTTGATCCAACTTAAAACTCATCGGTTTTCATATTATAATGGCAATTGGAGGTAGCTAGCTATAGCCTAACTATCGAATAGTTGCTTTTTTATGGAACTAATGGACTGCAAGGTTAGCTAGCTTAGCACCTCTGATTAGCTAGCATGATTGTGCTCAATGTTTAGATAGCTAGCTAAAGTTATTTCGATAATAGTTTGTGTATGTCAGTTCAGCTTCCCTATTCATTTGATAACAGTTGTGTTATGTTATAGCTAGTCTCCATGTGAATCATAGAAGGAATCCGATTGTTTTAGGCGTGGAATATACAGGCCTACGTTTTTGCTACACATCAACAAAGGAAGAAGTTGTCCAATTTCTAAATTATTTGATTTCTCACTTCATTTGCAGGTCCCAATAAGGACATCAGAGCTGGGTGCAAGAAATGTGGTTATCGTAAGTCATCTTTATTGCTTATATCATGTCTCTAACTCTACATATTCAATCCTTGTGAATACAGTTACAGCATGTTATTTGCTGTCCCCTGACCCCTGAGTGTGTCATAATCATACTGTGCTACATACATCTTCTCTCTAAAGTACTTCCCTTCATTACTCACTTCTGTACCTTTGTCATTTTATCAGCGGGCCACCTGACGTTCGAGTGCCGTAACTTTGTGCGTGTGGACCCCCGGAAAGACATTGTCCTGGACGTGAGCAGTACAAGCAGCGAAGAGAGTACAGAGGACGAGCAGGAGGATCTGCCTAACGACAAGCTGGGCCGGGGAGGAAAATACTCAAAAGGTCAATACAGTACAACAGACAATGTTTTATTTTATTTAACCTTTCTTTTATCAGGGAGTCATACTGAGACCACAGTCTATTTTACAGATGTGCCTTGAATTACAGAAATTACAGAAAATACACACATCAAAATATAAATACAAAATGCAAGCAGAAAGAAAAACAGTCATAAAAAACAAACACATTCATCCGTACTAAAGTCCTCAATCAGCTTTCTGAATTGTCCTAGATGCACCAAAACATCAAATTTAAGAACATTTTGAAGCTTGTTCCACAAATAACAGAACAATAGTTATGTCATAACAGACTTAGCACTGCTGCATTACTCTGTTATAACACACACAGTTATATGACCTAGTCCCTGCTAGTTATTTATCAATCCTTGGCTTCCATCACCTGTGTTGTGCTCACTTTTATTCAAGTGTTTTTTTGTCTGAATGGTTTTGTGTATTTGTCCTGATTGCTGTAGGTTCCCATGAGGATGCCAGGAAAGTTAAACACAAGAGGAGGAAAAGTAAAGACAGAAAGTCTGAAAGAAAGAGGTACGTCACATTGTCTTTTAATTCCAGTATCTATGAGAAATAATTATGTTTAGTCTCAGTGGTGTTGTATGTTTAATAACTGTGGATGTTCTCATTTTCTGCAGGTCCTTTTCATCGAGTGACGAAGAGGGGAGCAAGAAGAGAAAGAAACACAAAAGCCACAAGAAAAAGGGCAAGAAGGAAAAGAAGGATTGTCACAAGAAGAAGCAGAAGAAGAAACATGAATCTTCCTCAACTGACAGCTCCAGCAGGTCATCTGACACTGATTGAGAAGATGGAACATTTAGGGACAGATTTACTGAGTATTTGCACCTGTCATTTTACAGAGGAATCAAACTAAGACATGAAATTGTATTTAGACACACTTTACCATAAGATGTTATACCCTTTTCTTAAACTTTAATTTGATATTTTGTTCTATGTTTTATGTCCTATGGAAAGTAATAGGTGCAGACACAGAGTGTATCTGGCCCTTGCGTTTCACAGATTCAAGGACCATGCGTAAGTCTGGTCAATATAGCCTCTGCTACAAATGAAACAATGGACCCACATTTACTGTTACTTTTTTGACTTTGGTGAACACTGAATTTTTTTTTTTGTTATTGATGGAATTTGTTATTAAAGGTATTCTATACATAACAAGCTTGTAGATTATCTGATTTATTAGCAAACCGTCTGAACGTTTTATTTTCCAAGTGTTGATCTTTCAAGTAAGGTACCAGAATGGAAAAGGCAGATGAAAGAAAGGATAGATGCAGAGCCATGTACTTTAATTCCACGTCAGTACTGCAGGGAGCGGTATTAAGCTATTGAGTTTTTCTCCAAGCCCGCGGTGAACGGATACGGAAGCCGAGGGGAACACAGTGAATTCGGCAACAATGGCGGCCACCACAGAGAACGCAGATCTGAAACGAAAACTAGACGAGAATCAGGGTGAAGGAAAAGCTGGAGAAGAGGAGGAATGGGTTGGACCCATGCCAAGCGAGGCTACACAGACCAAGAAGAGAAAAGGTATATGATGGAAAAGCTAGCTAGCGAGTCAAAACAACTTGTCGTAGCTAGCTATGTTAGTGCAATGCTGGAGGTGTGCTAACTTCTGTGCTCCTAGCTATTAAGCTAGCCAGAGTGCCTATTGCTCAAACAATTTCCCAGAACGAAGCTGAAAATAGTGTTGCTCTCAAATTGTGCTTGCTTTTAACAAATAGTGGTTTTGTTTTTGTACAGTGCTGGAGTATGAACGTGTGTATTTGGACAACTTGCCATCGGCAGCCATGTACGAGAGGAGCTACATGCATAGGGATGTTATAACGCACATTGTCTGTTCCAAGTAAGTACTGTAACGTTAGATAACTAGCTATTGCCTTTTTCTAACTACAGGTATATGGCTCTTTGTCGGTCATCACTAGTTACCACAGCCACAAAGTTATAAACCCCCAAAGTTATGTATCTTCTTAAAATCTGATTTTAAACCTAACTTTAACAGTAACCTTAACCACACTGCTAACCTTATGCCTAACCTTGAATTTGGGTTTTCATGAGATTTTACGATATTGCCAATTTTGACTGAGGCAGTGGTACCCTCTTGGTCCCGTACGAGACACTTTAACGTGCTGATTTGTTTACTTCCTGGTTCATTGATTTGTGTTTTTCTGGATGTAAAATGTTACACATGCCAATGGTGATCAGTCTGCCTCTTAAACTCTAGTATTCTTTTCATTTCCAGGACAGATTTCATCATCACAGCCAGTCAGGATGGCCATGTGAAGTTCTGGAAAAAGAAAGAAGATGAGGGGGTAGAGTTTGTCAAACACTTCCGCAGTCATCTGGGTACGAATAATGCCTCTGTATCTTAATACAACCTCAGACTGGGCTTTAGACTGACTGAAATGTAATTTCAGGGCTTGAATTCACTGTTGTCATACTTGTTCTATGTGTTACAGGAGTGATAGAGTGTATTTCTGTCAGTGCTGATGGAGCTCTATTGTGTTCTGTTGGGGACGACCAGGCCATGAAAGTGTTTGATGTGGTCAACTTTGACATGATCAACATGCTCAAGCTGGGGTGAGTTTGCATCTTTTGCTTATTGTTTTTAAAGGTGAAACGTCTAGCAGTTTAGCTTGTTGCCTTAACCAAAATATATCCCATCTCTCTCCAAAAGAACCATGAGTGTCATAGAGTTATGACACATTTGATTCCTAGTTGATCTGCCATTCCTCTGCTCTGTGTGTTGTGTAGTTTCCACCCTGGCCAGTGTGAGTGGATCTACAACCCAGGCGACGCCATCTGCTGCGTGGCCTGCTCAGAGAAATCCACTGGGAAGATCTTTGTCTATGATGGACGGGGAAGCAACGAGAAACTCCACACCTTCGACAAGATGCACTCCTCTCCGCTGTCCCAGATCCGCCTCAACCCTAGATACAGGGTCATCGTCTCCGCAGACAAGGCTGGAATGCTGGAGTATTGGACCGGCCTCCCCAGCGAGTTCAAATTTCCCAGGCACGTGGACTGGCAGTATAAGACTGACACAGACCTTTATGAGTTTGCCAAAAACAAAACCTACCCCACAAGCCTGGCTTTCTCCCACGACGGGAAGAAGATGGCTACCATCGCAACCGACAGGAAAGTCAGGATCTTCCGCTTCCTGACGGGCAAACTGATGAGGGTGTTTGATGAGTCGTTATCGGTAAGTTTCCAACTTTCAGAATCGGGTCTTTACTTTATTTCATATTGCTATTAAAAAACTGTGCTACATCTTATAATCGTTTATCACACGATACTGACAAATTGGTAGCCTAGTATTCACAGTTTCCCACATTTCCCAGTGCATTGTGATAATTTCTTTCATCATGGCCCATCTCTGACCTGGTCCTGTAGAAGTTCACAGAGCTGCAGCAAATGAAGCAACAGCTGCCAGACATGGAATTTGGTCGGAGGATGGCGGTGGAGAGGGAACTGGAGAAGGTGGATGGAATCAGGCTGACCAACATCATCTTTGACGAGACGGGTCACTTTGTCCTCTACGGAACCATGCTGGGCATCAAAGTCATCAATGTGGAGACCAACAGGTAGTGTTTAAATGGTCAAAATGGACTTCACAGACAGTAATATCCTCTAAAAATGCAGTGGTTGTCAGCCATGGAGAGGTACAGGGAGAGCAGGCTATTTTTGTACCAGCCCTGCACCAAAAAAAACTAATTCATGAAACCCCTTTGTCTTGTGAAAGTGATTAGTCCAAGATGTTTTTATTTCCCACCCGTGTATGTGTTCAGGTGTGTGCGTATCCTGGGGAAGCTGGAGAACATTCGTGTGGTGAAGCTGAGCCTGTTCCAGGGGGTTGCCAAGGCATGCAACACAGCTCCCACCATCGAGATGAAGGCATCAGACAACCCGGCCCTGCAGAGCACAATGCCAGACCCCACCATCTTCTGCACTGCCTTCAAGAAGAACCGCTTCTACATGGTGAAAATTCAGTCAACTTTATTTGTCCCTGCAGGGCAATTGTAGCCCCTAAAAGAGAAATGGTATATTACTGTTGCTCCCTTGCAGTGCTGCTATTTATTTGCTATTTTAAACTGGGTGGTTCGAGCCCTGAATGCTGATTGGCTGAAAGCCGTGGTAGATCAGACCGTATACCACGGGTATGCAAAACATTTATTTTTACTGCTCTAATTACATTGGTAACCAGTTTATAATAGCAATGAGGCTCCTCGTGGGTTTGTGATATATGGCCAATATACCACGGCTAAGGGCTGTGTCCAGGTGCTCCGTGATGCGTCGTGCCTAAGAAAAGCCCTTACCTGTGGTATATTGGCCATATACCACACCCCCGTGCCTTATTGCTTCATTCTTGGCCATATTTTCACCCGCATTATATCATTTCCTCAGCATTTGTCACTTTCACTTATTTTCTCTTTGTAGTTCTCCAAGAGGGAGCCGGAGGACACTAAAAGTGCAGAGTCAGACAGAGACGTGTTCAACGAGAAGCCGTCTAAGGAGGAGGTGATGGCTGCTACCCAGGCAGAGGGGCCCAAGAGGGTGTCAGACAGCGCCATCATCCACACCACCATGGGAGACATCCACATCAAACTGTTCCCTGTCGAGTAGGTCACCCTCTGTTGTATTAGAGGACTTCCCTGAGGGCTTCCTTCCCATTTGCAATGCCAAGGGTTCTGTCTGTTAACTTTCCTCAGAACCTATACAGTTTTGCAATTATGATACATTTTATGGGACAATTTTACTTATGTTTATGGACTACTTTGTGTATCTCAGGTGTCCCAAAACGGTGGAGAACTTCTGTGTTCACAGCAGGAACGGTTATTTCAATGGCCACATATTCCACCGCGTCATCAAGGTAGGATATTTAATCACTGCTCATTGTTTTGACTTGGTAGTAGGAACTTAATCATGAGATGTGATGGACTATGTTTTGACTGTGTAGTCTTTCCTCTCCACCCAGGGCTTCATGATCCAGACAGGGGACCCAACAGGGACGGGCATGGGAGGGGAGAGTATCTGGGGAGGGGAGTTTGAGGATGAGTTCCATGCCACACTGAGACACGACCGGCCCTACACCCTCAGTATGGCCAACGGAGGCCCCGGAACCAACGGATCACAGTTCTTCATCACCGTCGTGCCTACGGTAACTAAGGGCTCACTCTCTCTGTGAAGTCTGATATTTTACTTTCTCTGTATTCCTTCAGTTGAAGTAATATCTTTGCCTGTTTCGTCAAGTATTGTACCAATGTATATTTCTGCATTATGTACAAAGATGTTCGTTTAGGTTTATTTGAACAGCATTCCCTACTTGTCTTTTTAGCCCTGGCTAGACAACAAACACACAGTGTTTGGGAGGAGTGCCAAAGGAATGGAGGTGGTTCAGCGGATCTCCAACCTCAAAGTCAACCCTAAAACAGACAAACCTTACGAAGACATAAGCATCATCAACATCACCATCAAGTAGTCACATTTCCATCTCACCAGTATGTTGTGTACTATTATTACGTTCCATTTTTACAAAGTAAAAAGTGTTGGATTATTCAAGAATGCATCTTGCCATCTCTGTGGCATTTTCTCTTGGATGTGAGAAATGAAGAATTTGTTGGTTGCTTAGTAACATGTTTGTCAACAGAGCTGTACCTTGAATAAACAAGTGTCTTATTAACATTCATTACAGAACGTTCAGATAGAAATGTGCTGTGTAGATCAGGCATGCCTTTCCTTCATTTTAGACTGGCAAGGGAGTCTACTGACAGAATATATAATCATTTTAGGTATCTAGCTGCAACTTTTCTGAATGGGTCAAACCATATCAGCAACAACATCCAGACATTCGTCAGTTTTTTATTTAATAGCATCACATTAATTATGAATGATTTACAAAAGCCATTAAATTCACAGGTAACAAATGTGTGGATGTGCACTGTCTTTCTAAATGTTTCAAAAACGGAAGATTTCACAAATCGAGAGATCCTTTAACAGAGGGAAAGGCTTCTTCACACATGCAATTTTTTTTTTTTTTACATAGATACAAGTAGTAGTACATTACATAGCAATGAGGAAAGTTAATTCAAACCAAAGGATGGTTCCTCCATACAATAACAGAGGAGTTGAAAGGTGTTTGGTTAATGTTTTGACTAAGTTTCACATCAACATGTGGGTAACGTTAATGTAGTATGTAACAATCAGCACTCCAGACAGATGGGCTAAAACCGAAGACAAACCAGGAGTCCTATAGTCAACAGCAGATATGACTTTTCATCTGGGGGTTTTTCTGTAGGGCACAACATTCAGATAGAAATATAGTGTGTAGATCATCCTCTGTCAATTAGATGAAGGAATCATGTCTACTCTATACATCTATCTGCAACATGAAGGGTCAAACGTTGCACCCTCCTGAGCACAACCCAGATGTATTAAAGCGGCAGAAAAGGTCATCCAATGCATTCTGCATGACACTCCACAAAACAGGTGGGAGTAAGACTTCATATTATAACACTGTTTAGATGTTTCCCACCACGGCTACTACAATATCTCAGCCAAGTCAGTTTCAATCAACTTGAAGTTTATCCCCCTACCCACCCAACATAAATAGCTTTTTCGCTCAACTGCACTATTTAACCAACGTCAATAATAGCTGAACTCAGCCCACTACCGATGTCATTTTAAGACCTGATGCTGCATTACATGAAATCATCACAAGTCAAGTGCATTGGTACCAATGAAAAAATCTGCAACAACATGGAGTTTCGCCATGAAATTAATCTCATACGATCTGCATTGAGGCGATATGGGAATGTGTAGTCTTATAAACAGGTTAGTTTAGTAAGCTTGAGGGAATCCCTATAACCTGGCCCTGTTTATTAGCATAACCTTTAGCCACGACAGAGCAGAGCACAAAGTATTACGACTAATGATGGATTCACTGGCTGTGGGTTAGAAGCTTATCTGCAGGTTAGGGGTGGGTGTGGTAGGTAGAACAGGGGTATGGGATGTAGGGCTAGGGCCTTAGTATGGGGTGAAAGGTATGAGATTTGGGGTAGGACTGAGGTGGAACTAGGGTGTAGGTTATGAGATGAGACTTTGGTAGGACTGGTCTTTAGGGTATGGGGTAGGACTGGGTCTATCATAAGCCAATCATCAGGTAAAAAGTTTAGGTAGGCGTGACTGGTGTAGGTCTATGGCGGACAGGTCTCTATGGTGTGGATGGGTTAAGGGGATCGTTCTGGGATATATGGTAAGGGGCTGAGACTTGGTAACAAGTCAGTCATCGGGGAAGTCTAGGTCACGTCTAGCCCCCCTGCAGTCTGCAGCAAGGGGAAGTCTAGGCCACGTCCAGTGCCCCCTGCAGTCTGCAGCAAGGGGAAGTCTAGGCCACGTCCAGTGCCCCCTGCAGTCTGCAGCAAGGGGAAGTCTAGGCCACGTCCAGTACGCCTGCAGCCACCAGCTGTCGGGACAGCCAGTCCAGGCCCTCGTGGAGCCCCGTGCCACTGCGGGCGTCACATCCCTGGATGTGCCAGCTCCTCCCACAGCACAGCTTGTGGAGACTCAGCAGCTCTGTCATCTCCTCCACCGACACAGCCCCAGGGACATCCTGCAGGTGAGGATAGAGGAATCAATGAGTTAATCAGCCAATCAACATTTTTACATTTTAGTCATTTAGCAGACGCTCTTATCCAGAGCGACTTACAGGAACAATTAGGGTTAAGTGCCTTGCTCATAGACATATTTTTCACCTAGCAAGCTCAGGGGTTACTGGCCCAACACTCTAAACCCCTGGGCTAATCAATCAATGTGCGTGTGTATACCTGTTTCTTGGACCAGGGGGCTGTGTATGTGTGTATACCTGTTTCTTGGACCAGGGGGCTGTGTATGTGTGTATACCTGTTTCTTGGACCAGGGGGCTGTGTATGTGTGTATACCTGTTTATTGGACCAGGGGGCTGTGTATGTGTGTATACCCGTTTCTTGGACCAGGGGGCTGTGTATGTGTGTATACCTGTTTCTTGGACCAGGGGGCTGTGTATGTGTGTATACCTGTTTGTTGGTGAAGATGAGCAGCAGGGCGTCTCTCAGCTCCTTCTCGGTCAGCAGTTTGGCCAGTTCACTGTGGGCCTCCATCAGCCTGTCCCTGTGACAGCTGTCAATCACAAACACCACCGCTGGAGAGCGAGAGGAGACAGAAAAAATAAGTCAGGGCCCTATTCACTCAAATTGTCTCTGTATAACATTTTCAAATTCTCTCTTTTCAAAATCAGTAGATTTGTCATAGTTATTGATATATGAGTGTACAAAACATTAGGAACACCTGCTCTTTCCATGACAGACTAACCAGGTGAAACCAGGTGAATCCAGGTGAACGCTATGATCCGTTATTGATGTCCCTTGTTAAATCCACTTCAATCAGTGTAGATGAAGGGAAGGAGACAGGTTAAAGAAGGATTTTTTTAGCCTTGAGACAACATACATGGATTGTGTATGTGCGATATTCAGAGGGTGAATGGGCAAGACAAAAACTGTGAGAAGCATCGGAGTCAACATGGGCCAGCATCCCTGTGGAACACTTTCGACACCTTGTAGAATCTATGCCCCGACGAATTGAGGCTGTTCTGAGGGCAACTCAATAGCAGGAAAGTGTTCCTAATGTTTGGTATACTCAGTGTACAGTACATGTAAGGGAAGCAGGTAATATGAAAGAAAGAGGTCAACAGATACCTTGTGTGTTCAGGTAATAGTGCTTCCAGAGAGGCCGTAGCTTATGTTTCCCACCAACGTCCCAGATGGTGAACTTGAGATTCTTATACTCCACTGTCTCTACATTAAAACCTACAGATGAAGAGGATGAGTGGCTAGTGTCAATACAATTAAGGTACATTTTAATGTAAAAATGTACAATTTCACACTTGCCTACATGACAGACACTGTTGTGGGTTTACCTATGGTAGGGATGGGCTGCATAAACTCATCCTGTTTCAGCTTGAAAAGGATGGTGGTTTTCCCGGCACCATCCAAACCCAGGGTTACCACCCGGATCTCCATTTTAGGGCCAATGTGGACCCGGTTGTCCTGGAACAGAGAAAACAATGTAGTCTAAATGAAGTTACTAATTATTTTTCAATGGAGAGTGTATCAAGTTTTGTATTCCTACAGAGTAGAGCAGAGTGCTGTACCTTGGTGAATGTGACGGGGATACCAGCATCTAGCTGGATGTGGTCAGCCAGCTCAGTGAACTGCTGCTGCTGTTTCTGTAGAGTCTCCAACAGTCTGTTGATCTCCTGCTTGGCCAGGACCACTCTGCAGTCATCCTACAGAGAGAGACAAGGAAGACATCAGTCATGACTTACAATTCAATTTGCCAATGTGATTTTCCTACCTGATTTCAGACCATACAAAAGACCTTGGGAAGACAATGGTAGTTCTTATTGAAAATGACAGGACCATCCAGTGCAAGCAGAGATTGCGTTCCTACGGTGTGCTCTAGAGATGCTATGCCCACCGGTGGCCCATTTTGGCTCCTACCTGCTGCAGTGTCTTCTCGCAGTGCAGGCAGGCTGTGGAGACCTGGGACAGCAGGACGGTCATGTCTTCCTGCTGTTGCCGGAGCCAGATGAGCCTTTCCCTGACGTGGGCGTCCACTACGCTGAGCGCCATCTCCTCCTGTCTGCACAGCGTCTCGTGGAGATCAGCGAAGTACGCCCGTACGCAGGACCGTGCACTCTCTGCCGTGCCTGGGACCTGGGGAACACCCACAGACGACTGAGTCCATCAGGAATACACAGATTACACACAGCATCCTGAAATATAAATACATGATAAACCATAAGCAATGTTATGACTTTTTGGAAGGAAATACAATGACGTTTCCCAGGACATTGAGATGTAGCTATCGTAATTTGTAAATACAGTAACAGCTTTACAGCGATTATACCTCAACTGCATCTATCTCCTATCTATCCACTTTCATATCTAAAGTTCATCTGTTGTATATTATGCAAAAGGTCATTATCCACAGCCAGCTGTTATTACATGTTCAGTGTGCGCCATGCCGATGCTGTCCTCCACTATCCGTTCTCCTCCCTCGATCTGCTGCACGATCCCAACCAGCTTCCTGGAATACTCCGACACCTCCTCTGTGAACGTCCGGATACAGTGGGCCATGTCCAGGATAGACGCACGGATCTGATTGGCTTCTGCCTCCAGAACTGCATGCTACAGGAAGGAAGCAATCAGCAAGGAGAAATTTATGCAATCATAGTAGGGCCGGGACGATACCAGTATCGCGATCCTCATTAGTATCGTGGCAAGGAAACAAAGCACGAAGCGGATTTAACTTCTTTAGGAAAACAGCCCTAATATTGAAAACAAACATAATTATGTTGTCATCCAGAGTCACATTTATTTATTCCCAAGCTACAGTATAGCATACAATATTTTACATACAGCAGGTTTTTAAAGGACCAAAGAGTTTGGTCTGCTTTGTATTTTCATTTTTGCCATGGAAAAAATATTGCGATACTGGTATCGTCACGGCCCTATATCATACCAGCTGAACTACCAACCAGTACCATTACAAGTGACCATTAATTTAGCTATTCTGATTTGCTTGTTGTCTCTAGTGTTGCTAGGAATGTTGCTTCAGAGCTTGACCTCAGTCAGTCAATAAATACAGCAACCAATAGGCTACTCCCAGCTGACTCATCTTCCTCTGCCTTCCGTACCTTGTGTCCCTGGTGCTTGCCGTACTCTTTGCACACGCAGCACATGAGCGGCCCAGGCTGGCAGAGCTCCTCCTGACAGACGAACTCGATGGCGTGGACCTGGTGCTGCGGGCACAGCGTCTTCTCGTGGGGCTTGTCTGCCAGGGGTACCTGCCGGTGCTTGGCCAGGGTGCGGGTGGAGTGGGTGAGCTGGGAGCAGTCGGCACACAGGTGGGTGGCACACACCGTGCAATACATAGACGCCGTGTGGCTCTCGTCCTCGTCACAGCGGATTATAGACTGGAGGGGAGGGGGAGGACATATGATAGTGTTACATTTCATGTGTCGTTGTCATTAAGTGTCATTGACAATTGGAAGGATGTATGTGAAAGAACTAGGCAGATCGAAGCAAATTCCCATATAGCTTTCACCTATCCTCACTGTGTTTTCAGATAACTGCAGATGAAAGATTGGAACCCAGGGTGGGGGTAACTATAGCCTACCTCAAGATGGGAACCCAGGGTGGGGGTAACTACTGCCTACCTCAAGATGGGAACCCAGGGTGGGGGTAACTACTGCCTACCTCAAGATGGGAAACCAGGGTGGGGGTAACTACTGCCTACCTCAAGATGGGAACCCAGGATGGGGGTAACTACTGCCTACCTCAAGATGGGAACCCAGGGTGGGGGTAACTACTGCCTACCTCAAGATGGGAACCCAGGGTGGGGGTAACTACTGCCTACCCCAAGATGGGAAACCAGGGTGGGGGTAACTACTGCTTACTTCAAGATGGGAACCTAGGGTGGGGGTAACTACTGCCTACCTCAAGATGGGAACCTAGGGTGGGGGTAACTACTGCCTACCTCAAGATGGGAACCCAGGGTGGGGGTAACTACTGCCTACCTCAAGATGGGAACCCAGGATGGGGGTAACTACTGCCTACCTCAAGATGGGAACCCAGGGTGGGGGTAACTACTGCCTACCTCAAGATGGGAACCCAGGGTGGGGGTAACTACTGCTTACTTCAAGATGGGAACCCAGGGTGGGGGTAACTACTGCCTACCTCAAGATGGGAACCTAGGGTGGGGGTAACTACTGCCTACCTCAAGATGGGAACCTAGGGTGGGGGTAACTACTGCCTACCTCAAGATGGGAACCTAGGGTGGGGGTAACTACTGCCTACCTCAAGATGGGAACCTAGGGTGGGGGTAACTACTGCGTACCTCAAGATGGGAACCTAGGGTGGGGGTAACTACTGCCTACCTCAAGATGGGAACCTAGGGTGGGGGTAACTACTGCCTACCTCAAGATGGGAACCCAGGGTGGGGGTAACTACTGCCTACCTCAAGATGGGAACCTAGGGTGGGGGTAACTACTGCCTACCTCAAGATGGGAACCCAGGGTGGGGGTAACTACTGCCTACCTCAAGATGGGAACCTAGGGTGGGGGTAACTACTGCCTACCTCAAGATGGGAACCCAGGGTGGGGGTAACTACTGCCTACCTCAAGATGGGAACCTAGGGTGGGGGTAACTACTGCCTACCTCAAGATGGGAACCCAGGGTGGGGGTAACTACTGCCTACCTCAAGATGGGAACCCAGGGTGGGGGTAACTACTGCCTACCTCAAGATGGGAACCTAGGGTGGGGGTAACTACTGCCTACCTCAAGATGGGAACCTAGGGTGGGGGTAACTACTGCCTACCTCAAGATGGGAACCCAGGGTGGGGGTAACTACTGCCTACCTCAAGATGGGAACCTAGGGTGGGGGTAACTACTGCCTACCTCAAGATGGGAACCCAGGGTGGGGGTAACTACTGCCTACCTCAAGATGGGAACCCAGGGTGGGGGTAACTACTGCCTACCTCAAGATGGGAACCTAGGGTGGGGGTAACTACTGCCTACCTCAAGATGGGAACCCAGGGTGGGGGTAACTACTGCCTACCTCAAGATGGGAACCTAGGGTGGGGGTAACTACTGCCTACCTCAAGATGGGAACCCAGGGTGGGGGTAACTACTGCCTACCTCAAGATGGGAACCCAGGGTGGGGGTAACTACTGCCTACCTCAAGATGGGAACCCAGGGTGGGGGTAACTACTGCCTACCTCAAGATGGGAACCCAGGGTGGGGGTAACTACTGCCTACCTCAAGATGGGAACCCAGGGTGGGGGTAACTACTGCCTACCTCAAGATGGGAACCCAGGGTGGGGGTAACTACTGCCTACCTCAAGATGGGAACCCAGGGTGGGGGTAACTACTGCCTACCTCTCCTATGCCTGTGAGGGCGTCCTCTGCCATGCTCGACTGGCTGGACGCTCCATTCTGCAGCCTCTCCAGAAGCTCCAGCAGGGCAAAGTTCTTCTTCAGACCCCACACACCAGAGTCCCCTAAGAGGGACAGAGTGAGAGAGAGACAGAGAATTAGTCAATAAAAAGCATTAATTCATCATCAAATCATTCACACATTTCCCAGAGGCGATAGACTGAAAACTTACAAGTAAACAAGTGAGACGTTAGACCTTATATTGTGATGGATGTTACATGGGCGGCAGGTAGCTTAGTGGTTAAGAGCGTTGTGCCAGTAACCAATTGCGTTGTGCCAGTAAAAAAAGTTGCTGGTGCTAATCCCTGAGCCGACTAGGTGAAAAATCTGTCGATGTGCCCTTGAGCAAGGCACTTAACCCTAATTGCTCCTGTAAGTCGCTCTGGATAAGAGCGTCTGCTAAATGACAAAAAAAAAAATCACGCTCACTGACACAGGAACACAATAGGCCTGTATAGGAACTAAACCCTACGGACTCACCCAGCTCTGTGACCTGTCTGTCGAAGGGGCAGCGGATGGCTCTACCATGCAGGGGCAGCCGGGTCAGACAGTCATGACAGACTGTGTGACCGCAGAGCAGCAGCCGGGGGACCTTGTCCCCCTGGAGAGAGAAGACATCCTCACACACCCCACACTCCAACACCTGGGGACAACACACATACAGGTCGAGTCAACCACACACATAGGTTGAGTTTACTTAGATGGACCCCTTGTCATTGCATATCATTTCAATATTGAATTTCTGCATGGACTGAGATTAAGAATATGGATTACCTTATTGTCCATGTCAAAACTTAAGCTATGATGACAAGCTGCATTAGGCTAGAGTGTGTCATGTTTCCCGTAGGCAAATTCATCTTGCTTCTCATGGAACTACTTTGGTTACTGTAGTGTAGTGTTGATGAAAAGACACACAGGTTACACATAAGGGTTTGTTATTAAAGTGCGTAGCTAGCTAGTGCGCCAACACTAGCCTGCGTGCGAAATCTCAATTGTCATTGACGTTGTCGTGCAAAACGGCACAATTTTATGACGGTGTTAAATGTCCTTTTACGAGGGTGATTCCTGAATCAACAGTACCTAACTACTGACTGTTCCGATTGCACACTCAGAATGTTCTACACAAAGAAGTAGCAAGCCAGTAGCAAGTTAACAAACGTTAGACTGGGCATCAACAGTAGTTAGCTATACTATAGCTAGCGCGTTAACGTTAGCACGCTATGCTGCTAATATGCATCCAAGCCCAAGCAGTTACATGGTTGATACAAAAAGCTGTGATCATGGCACTTGATTACAGACAGAATCACCATCTGGGTTTTTTGGATTGCATGTCTATTGTCTACGCAGACAAACAAAAAATGCAGGCCGATCGTTTGACACTGCGTTGACGCCCCGGCCGCAAAACAGCAGCATCCGAATTCGGCGAAGACAAAAAGGCAGAATTGAGAGTTCCCCCGATCCGAGCGCCCTTGTCGGTAGTTTGAGCAAACGACCTATCCCCTCCAAACGTTGTTTATATGCTTATTTAGACGTTGAAATATTCAACCAACCTTCACTGTGCTACTTGTGGCCCCTCTGCCGTGCCGGACACAGACGTCCATCGTTGCTGCGGTCCCCTGCTTGTTTACACCCACAGCAGCAGCCATCCTAGAACTAGGACTAAACCATTCACACGGCTAAAGCGTGGAGTCGAAAATGCATATGCGGAATATCTGTAGACCACCAACAAAATAGAACTATAAAATGTAACTTTGGTGCTTATCTTGTGTTGGATCGATAAGAAATAGAAAATACGTTTCGGTTATATAAAAAGAACTACAATGAAACTGGCGACTATTCATGACCCCTTATATGGACATGGAAGAGTCCGTTTGCATCGGTTCCACGGTTTTTAGATTTTAGCGCCATCTTGCGTTTTTGCTGCAACACTTACGCACTTTCCTTTTTTAATAATAATAATAATATAATAATATGCCATTTAGCAGACGCTTTTATCCAAAGCGAATTACAGTCGTGCGTGCATACATTTTTTGTGTATGGGTGGTCCCGGGGATCGAACCCACTACCTTGGCGTTACAAGCGCCGTGCTCTACCAGCTGAGCTACAGAGGACCACTAATATAACCGTGACGTTGATATTCCGCGCCTATGTTTTGAACAACACGAATGACAACCGCCAAAGCAAACAGCCTGAGTATTCCCACTAAATAAGTACCACATTCATTCAATAACGTCTACCCCACATAGCGTCGAGGTAAGAAGCTTTTCATGTGCAATAGTGTTATCAAAGTTGAGATACTTGGCAAGCGGACACCGCGCATTCTCATTCCTATGAGTGGATGCTCGGCGCCCTATGTTAGATAGCTACTTTAGCTACGTTTCGTAGCCACATTCACAATTCTTGCCAAACAAACAGATTGCTAGCTAGCTAAAGTTGCTAAAATTACATTGAAATGTTGTATGATACTAGAGACGTGCAAACCACCAATGAGTGGGCCCATCAAGAAAATGTAAACAATGGAGCAAATTTATTACATTCACATTTTCTGATTGAATAGCTAATGAGATTCCCTCATACTGTTCTCCTGTCCTCCAGAGCTCCAGGTGACTGTGACCCATCATGTCTCACTCTCAGCAGCAGTCTGCCCCCGGGCCCCTCCCCACGGCCCCAGACTCCCCCGCCATGGGCGTGACGGTCAGCGGCAACGTCACCAAGTATGCCATGAAAAAGAAGAAGATCCTCAACGCCGAGGAGAGTGAGCTATTTGAGCTGACGCAGGCCGCAGGCATTGCCATGGACCAGGAGGTCTTCAAGTACGTCTGAGAGGGGGCATCTCAATAGTCTAACTTGGCTTCCTTTCCTCATCACAATCCCGTCTTTCTGTCTGGCCAACAACATTATTCTGAGCTGTTATTTTTAACCCATCTTATACTACAGACCTATACTCTGGCTAATGCATTGATCAGGCCAATACACTGACTGACTGACTGACTGACTGACTGACTGACTGACTGACTGACTGACTGACAGACAGTGTGTGTGTGTGTGTGTGTGTGTGTGTGTGTGTGTGTGTGTGTGTGTGTGTGTGTGTGTGTGTGTGTGTGTGTGTGTGTGAGAGCGCGAGTGTACACTGTACTCTTAGTTTAATCCCTGTCCCTCTCCTCCTGTAGGATCATTGTGGACCTGTTGAAGATGAACGTGGCTCCACTGGCTGTGTTCCAGACACTGAAGGCCATGTGTGCTGGCCAGAGGATAGCTGAAACCTCCATGGGAGACTCCTCCACAGCCTCCTACCCCAACACCACCACTACCACCACAGCCTCCTCAGCCCCTACAGAACCCAGAGGTCAGTAGGGTCTGGATCAGGGGGTGAGAGAGCTAGAGAAGAGGGGTTGTGGTTTCCTGTTCCACAACAATACTGCTTTCTCACTGGTAGCCCAGCCAGAGTATACAGCTCATTGTTTCCTCTACCATAACAGTATGTCTCTCGGTTAGGGACAGACAGAGAAGAGGGTTAATGTTTCTATAGCCTTGGAAGTGCAGGCTTCTCACGTTCTGTTAGAAAGCCTTGGGAAGTTCCCTTTATGAAGACGATAAAAAAGGGTGGAATGTGGTGGAGTCAAGATGGAAACTAGTGTCGCTTATCAAACCAATTCAATATTTAGCATGGGTGGTGCTTCAACAAAACTAACGCCGTATAGCCTACTAAAATGTTGTCCGACACAGTAGGAAAAGCGAGACACGGACAAAACAAACGAAATACCTCTCCTGAGGGGAAATGTCATTTCTACTCAAAGCCAATCAAATGTGAGCATTGAATGCCAGCAAAAACCAATACTAAAGTTCTCCAGACTTCCACTAGTTTAGTCAACAAGACAAGATTTGGAAGGATAGCCACGTGAGACTCTCTACCATAACACTACCTGTATGTCTGTCTGTTGGGTAAGGACAGACAGAGAATGATTGTTTTTATTATTTAGGTGGAATATAATATATTGATCTCTTTCTGTCTGCTTTGCTTGCTTTGCAGCCTTCTGCTTAAACCCCTGTATCCTGCTCAGACAAGATATTCCCCCCTTTCACTTCCCCAGCTGAGCCTCTACACCTAATCTTCCAATGTCTCCTACACCCCTCACTAACTAATACACTTCACTCCATTGTGGCCTTGGCCAGCCAGCTGAATTGAAATTAATGGAGAAGAGAATAGCATACATTGGCCTCCAGTCAAACACAAACTTTACAATGTTACCTGTGTATTTCAGTTTGCGCTCTAACTCCTCCTATTCTTCTGTACATGTGTTACTGGTGTGTACGCACAAACCCTCTGTGTGCGTATGTATCTCTCTGCTGAAGAAGAGGACTCTGTTGTGTCTGGCCCTAAGAGCTCTAAGCCCCCTGCGCCTCCCCCCACCTCCTCCTCCACCTCCTCCTCTGCTGACCCCAGGCCCACCAGGGTCAACTCTAAGATGGTCTACGACACCTGCTCTCCTCACTCTCAAGGTCCCTTTTTCACTCACTCCTCCTTTTCTTCACTCTATCCCTCCATCTCTCTTCAGAAACTCTTCAACTTCTCTGTTTGTTTGCCTGTCTGGCTCCAGTACTTCAATGTCTTCACCTTGTGCACTGAGTTTACTTGTAGAGTGTGTAGGAGCTTCACAGTTTGTTTGCGTGTGGACTCAGGTATACTCAGTGGGACAGTTTATTAGGTACACCAACCCCGTTCACAAAAATGGTTCGTTCCTGCATAAAGTGAGTCACTTGGCCGTGGCATGCTATATAAAGCAGGCAGACAGGCATCGAGGCATTCAGTTACTGTTTGATTTGAATGTTAGAATGGCTAAAACTAGTGACTTAAGCAACTTTGAGCGTGGTATGATCGTCGGTGCCAGGCCGGCCTCCTGGGCATTTCACACACGACAGTGTCTAGGGTTTACCGAGAATGGTGCGACAAACAAAAAACATTCAGTCAATGGCAGTCTTGTGGGCGAAAACAGATAGTTGATGAGAGGTCGAAGGAGAATGGCAAGAATTGTGAAAGCTAACAGGCGGGCCAAAATAGGCAAATAATGGCGCAGTACAACAGTGGTGTGCAGAACGGCATCTTGGAACGCACAACTTGTCTGCCCTTTCACGGATGGGCTATTGCAGCAGACGACCACACCGGGCTCCACTCCTATCAGCTAAAAACAAGAAGAAGCAGCTACAGTGGGCACGTGATCACCAACACCAGACAACTGAGGAGTGGAAAAACATTGCCTGGTCTGACGAATCCCGGTTCCTGTTGTGTCATGCTAATGGAAGAGTCAGGATTTGGCGTAAGCAGCATGAGTCCATGGCCCCGTCCTGCCTGGTGTCAACGGTACAGGCTGGTGGTGGTGGTGTAATTGTGTGGGGAATGTTTTCCTGGCACACGTTAGGTCCCTTGATACCAATTCAGCAACGTTTCCATGCCCCGAGAAATTCCGGCTGTTCTGGAGGCAAAGGGGGGTCCGACCTGGTACTAGATAGGTGTACCTAATAAACTGGACTCTGAGTGTATGTGCGTTTGTTCGTTAACCTCGTCTTGCTTTTTTTGTGTTTTTGTGTTTTCTCAGCTCATGTAAACTGTAGCCCTATATTTGACAAAAACGTTTGTGATTGCATGGTTTTCAATTTGATTCACCAGGTTGAGGGGGAGGGATTTTCCCCATAGGGCGAATTAGGAAGAGGTAACTAAGTCTAGACTGAATAAAGTGTTCCATCTTCATCGCTGTCCGTCATGCTCTCATAAGTGTCTCATTGGTCTCTCATCTGAACATGCTCATCTGCATGTTCTTATCCTGCCCCAAACACAGCCACTTCGCCTTGCATGACAGCTACACACACACTGCCAACCATCCTTCTCACCCTTCTCTTTGTGTTTGCAGTGCGTAGTAAAGCGGGTGCGGGCCACGGGGAGAAGAGCAGAGAGGGTTCCAGCCAGAGGGTGCCACGCCAGCCCAGCGCCACCAGGGGGCAGAAGACGACCAAGAGTTCTGGAAGCAGCAGCTCCTCCTCACAGATCACCCCAACTACCACCAACTAGACCCCACAGAAAGGAGGGCTGACTGATGGGGCACCTCACAAGTCTTAAGATGTTTCCTCTCCTCGTCTTCTTTCCTTCATCTACATTAACGGCTAATTCATCTCCTCTCCTCCTCCTCGGTTGAATTAAGGTAAATTAATATAAGAGAGTTGTTTTAGTGAAAGTATGTACCTAGTCCACCATGTTGCTTTCACCTCTCCTATGCTTCCACGTCAGATGAGTAGAGGAGGAACCTTGTTCAAGATACAGTATTGAGATTCAGAATCAGTGTGACCACTAATGCTTACCTCATGGTCACTAGTGTCGATTTTTGGCCTGCCAAAAGGCTGGGAGAAGTGCCTCTTAGAACTGGTCCATAGTCCGTTGGGATATGTTGGCGTATAATGGTTGGGTTGAGGATATGGGTCGACAGAAACTGTTCCTAGATCAGTACCATGGGCTCATACTTTAGATAGGATTTAAACCATTCTGTCTTATAAAAGGGGTGCCATCTGCAAATACTATTTTATACTTATGTTTTGTGATTGTTGTTTTTATACCATGAACATGCATAGAGGAGTTGTCTGAATTGCTCACCATTACAGCACTTGTGGAACCAAACATTTTCATACTATCTTGTCACAATAAAAAAAGAACACTTTTGGGACCTCTATACAAGGTGTGTTGGTTGTCTTCTTTGTCTACCATGCTGAAATCCAACACAATACTGGGTCTTTTGTTGTCATTTCCTTTGGCTTAGCGAGAGTTACTAGAGTACAGCCAATTCTGTTGCCTCTCCTGTCCAACACAATATAGACTGCTGTTGTATTCTGCCTGATACCCATGAGGAGAAAGAGTGTGAAAGAGGCAGAAGTTAATGCTGCACATGCTTGTCCCAAAATGTTGTCAAAATAAAAAAGAACACTAGAACTCTACAAGCTGCTGTGTGTTATTTTCTCTGTCCACCATAATGAAACCCAACACAATACAGTCTACTGTGTCATGCGTATACCTAGGAGATGGTGAGTAAAATATGGTGGAGTGGTGGGCTTTGAGATGTTCTGTCTACTGTGATGCTACAGCTGGGAAGAGACAGAGCAAAGCACCGCACAGGTCACTTCTCTGGGACTTAACAATGTCTCATTGTATAGCATTGGCTCAATTCATACATTCTGTTATTGATACCACTGGTATTCTAAAGGTGTCCTCTTCCTTTCTATCTCCCTGTCTGTAAATACTGAATATATACACTGCTCAAAAAAATAAAGGGAACACTAAAATAACACATCCTAGATCTGAATGAATGAAATAATCTTATTAAATACTTTTTTTCTTTACATAGTTGAATGTGCTGACAACAAAATCACACAAATTATCAATGGAAATCAAATTTATCAACCCATGGAGGTCTGGATTTGGAGTCACCCTCAAAATTAAAGTGGAAAACCACACTACAGGCTGATCCAACTTTGATGTAATGTCCTTAAAACAAGTCAAAATGAGGCTCAGTAGTGTGTGTGGCCTCCACGTGCCTGTATGACCTCCCTACAACGCCTGGGCATGCTCCTGATGAGGTGGCGGATGGTCTCCTGAGGCATCTCCTCCCAGACCTGGACTAAAGCATCCGCCAACTCCTGGACAGTCTGTGGTGCAACGTGGCGTTGGTGGATGGAGCGAGACATGATGTCCCAGATGTGCTCAATTGGATTCAGGTCTGGGGAACAGGTGGGCCAGTCCATAGCATCAATGCCTTCCTCTTGCAGGAACTGCTGACACACTCCAGCCACATGAGATCTAGCATTGTCTTGCATTAGGAGGAACCCAGGGCCAACCGCACCAGCATATGGTCTCACAAGGGGTCTGAGGTTCTCATCTCGGTACCTAATGGCAGTCAGGCTACCTCTGGCGAGCACATGGAGGGCTGTGCGGCCCCCCAAAGAAATGCCACCCCACACCATGACTGACCCACCGCCAAACCGGTCATGCTGGAGGATGTTGCAGGCAGCAGAACGTTCTCCACGGCGTCTCCAGACTCTGTCACGTCTGTCACATGTGCTCAGTGTGAACCTGCTTTCATCTGTGAAGAGCACAGGGCGACAGTGGCGAATTTGCCAATCTTGGTGTTCTCTGGCAAATGCCAAACGTCCTGCACGGTGTTGGGCTGTAAGCACAACCCCCACCTGTGGACGTCGGGCCCTCATACCACCCTCATGGAGTCTGTTTCTGACCGTTTGAGCAGACACATGCACATTTGTGGCCTGCTGGAGGTCATTTTGCAAGGCTCTGGCAGTGCTCCTCCTGCTCCTCCTTGCACAAAGGCGGAGGTAGCAGTCCTGCTGCTGGGTTGTTGCCCTCCTACGGCCTCCTCCACGTCTTCTGATGTACTGGCCTGTCTCCTGGTAGCACCTCCATGCTCTGGACACTATGCTGACAGACACAGCAAACCTTCTTGCCACAGCTCGCATTGATGTGCCATCCTGGATGAGCTGCACTACCTGAGCCACTTGTGTGGGTTGTAGACTCCGTCTCATGCTACCACTAGAGTGAAAGCACCGCCAGCATTCAAAAGTGACCAAAACATCAGCCAGGAAGCATAGGAACTGAAAAGTGGTCTGTGGTCACCACCTGCAAAACCAGTCCTTTATTGGGGGGTGTCTTGCTAATTGCCTATAATTTCCACCTGTTGTCTATTCCATTTGCACAACAGCATGTGACATTTATTGTCAATCAGTGTTGCTTCCTAAGTGGACAGTTTGATTTTACAGAAGTGTGATAGACTTGGAGTTACATTGTGTTGTTTAAGTGTTCCCTTTATTTTTTTGAGCAGTGTATGTTATATGCAGTATATCCATTCAGGTTCATGGTTCTTCTGACATTCTCCAGTGAATCTTGTATAAAAGACAAATAATATTACTGTTTGAAATGTTTACTGTTCATAGTCAACTATTTGACTCTAATAAATACTTTTTGCCAGTGCAACATTCTGTTAATTGAGTTGAGCCTGTAAGGTATGTGGTGACCTTATGGCCTCTCCCTGAATGGCTGGTGTGATATGACAATGGAATCCAGTGTATTGTCTTCTCTCTCAGGGACAGACTCAAACGTTTACTGAGATGTGTCTCTGTTTTCTTTGGCCTCCAGGGGGAACTGAAGGCACTACATTTTGTCTGTGTATAAGGAAGTAGTGTTTGTTTGTTTACACGTATTTGTGTTTCAGGGACACTTGTGTTCACGTTCGTGTGTGTGTGTCTGAGTAACACCCCTAGAGTCGACGTTCGCGCACCTGCGGAAATCTAATTATCATAATAAACAATTATCTGGTGTTAATCCACCGCGTGCACCGATGTCAGCCTTCCGCATCTGCAGCGAGTGGAAGAGCTACAGCGGTGTTTGTCAGACCAGGAGACATCCGGAAAATCGGTCTTCTCACGAAAACGTCTGTATTGTCCGAACCGTTTAGCCTACAAACAATTATGACCCCGCAGTGGAAAGATAAGACTCTCACGAACACGTAAATGTCAGTTTTGCTCTAGGACGCCCACAAGCCTCTTCTGACAGCCTGGTATCATAGACTAGACGTAACATAGGAAACGTAATTCCGGGATATGAAATTAGATTGACATGTTACATTTGGTATGGTAACATATCATACTAAATCGAGTACCACATAATACCCATAAAACCTAGAGATCAAACAGGGAAATGGTTCCAATCTTTTTTCCACCATTAATTTTTCCCATAGGGGATTTTAGAAACACTTAAAATAAGGGCTGTGTTTTGTGTAGGCTTACCCTGTTGTGAAGTTTTGATAACCGTGTAAATCTCTTTCGGACAAGGTGACTTTTATCAATATATTTTCCAAAACGTCACACCAGGCTAAGCTTATACGAAACACAGACATATTTTAAGTGTTTCTAAAAATCCCCTATGGGAAAAATGAATTGTAGAAGAACTATTGGAACCATTTCCCTGTTTGACCGCTAGGTTTTATGGGTATTATGGCACCTCCACTGTGGGGCTCTATGGAGTGTAGCTCATATTTATGCTACGTACAGAATAATACGAAATGCTCTGAGACCAGGTTGCAGCATCTGAAGGTAGCAGGTACCAGTTTAAAAAATGAATTGAAGTAAATATGGAAGTAGTTTAGTGCCCCCAAAAAGTGTTAAATATTGGTTTTAAAAAAATAACAATATTTCCTGATCTTTCTTATATCTCTCAGATATAGGACACACACATCAAAACAAACTTCCTTTTGATTTATTTTTTGACCATTTGTTTTTCCATTTCAGTCATTTAGCAGACGCTCTTATCCAGAGAGACTTTACAGTTAGTGCATACATTTTTAAATTATTTTTCATACTGGCCCCCCGTGGGAATCGAACCCACAACCCTGGCGTTGCAAGCGCCATGCTCTTCCAACTGAGCTACACGAGGCCTGTCCATGTATGAATCTGTTATTCAATGCGTTTCTATGGGCTAATAGCAGTAAGGCCAAATTCAATGTTTTATCAAATAATTTATATATATATATATATATATATATATATATGTTTTTATACCTAAAGGGGTCTTAAAATTCCAAATCAAATACCCCCCACCAGGCTTAGACTCTTAATGATGTGTCCTCTTCATAGGGTAATATGAATTCCCCGCCCCAGGCAGCAATGACAAGAGGGGGAGTAGGATAGGAGTACATCCATCAGTGTGTGATGAAGGGAGGGGGGTTATGGACTGGGAACCCAGTGTAGCTGTGCTCATGGGGGGCTGAAGAGGGAAAGGAAATGGCTCATTGTAATGGCTGGAATGGAACAGTATCAAACACATCAAACATATGGAAAACACGTTTGACCCGTTCCATTTATTCCATTATTCCATTTCAGCCATTACAATGAGCCCGTCCTCCTATAGCTCCTCCCACCAGCCTCCACTGGAATGGGGATAGGTGGGATGGAAAGTTGGGGAGGGGAACAAGCAGGTGATTTATTGCAGTTCCACGAGGCCTCCTCCTCTCCTCTGCTCTTTCCCATAACAGCAGAGCAAGTAAATTAATTACAAAATAACCAATGTGTTAACGGCCGTGTGTGTGTGTGTGAGTGTGTGTGTTTGTGTGCGTGCGTGCATGATAAACAAGGGATGTTTGGATGAAAAGAAGGTGAAAGTCATTCGAGGTGTTTGTTTCCAGGCAGTAGCAGGTCAGCCTCTGAGCCCCTGGCCTGTGTGTGTGTGTTTATATACAGCACTGTTTGTGTTGGTGCTCCTATAGAATCAGCTGGTTCCTTCTCTTCTCTCTCTCTCTCTCTCTCTCTCTCTCTCTCGCTCTCTCTCTCTCTCTCTCTCTTCTCTATTACTCTCTTGCTCTCTCTCTCTCTTTCTCTCCCTCACTCTCTCTGAGAGATGGAGTGATACAGGCCTCTGTTTTGGGCAGAGGAGAGGAGAGGCTCAGGGGAGTAAACAGGAGAGAAGGAGGAATAAATCAAGGGATCAGAGGGATGCTGGTGATGAACCAGTGGTGGGTGAGGACCACGTCCACCGCTGTGGTGTGTGTGTGCGTTTGTGCGTGCGTGCAGACCACGGCTTGCTCCAGACTCCCACAGGGGGAGGTGTGCGTGTGTGTGCGGAGCCTGTCTCCTCTCACATTACCCCTTACATTAAAACCAGTCGGGGGGAAAATTACTGCAGACCTAAGCAACCCTGAGTCCACCTGGGCCCATGGAGAGAGGGATGCAGCTGGAGGAGGGGATAAAGAGGTGTAAAAGAGGGAGGGGGATAAGGCTGGAGCCTCACTAGGAGTGGGATGGAATAGCCTCTATATGCTGGTCTGAAGTCAAGTTTGTTGTTTTCCCCATAATGGTTCAGGTGAGGGTAAGCTGATCCTAGACTTGTACCTTAGGGACAAATTCTACCCTGAGCAGGTGGAAGAGAAGT